TTTGATATTTTTGTTTTATTATTTTTATTTTTTAATTTTAAGCTGCATAAGCAATAACAACTAAACTTTAACCCACATACGATCTTAAATTATATTTTTATAATTTTTAGTTTATATTTATTAATAAATGAAAGAAAACAATATTTATTTTTGCTTTTATTTATAATATTAAAATCAAGTATTTCCCGCGCATTTTTTTTACCGCGTTTTCTTTAATTCTGAATGCTATTCTATGCATTTTCACTTTCCGAAAAATAAATTTTAGCGGCGCTCATATTTCACTTATGTATTTTTTCTTGTCCCGATGAAAAGTCAAACCACTTAAAATTATCAAAAAAATTTGAAAAAAAATCGATGAAACATGATAAATATTCAAAAAAATATCACGACAAAAATATTTTTTTTTCGTAAAAAATATCGATATATTGATATTTTGATATATTTTCGACATCCCTACTTATTTCTGATCTCGTAAGCTGTGGTTGATTGTGCTGTGCTAAGTAAACGAAACTATAATTGAATACGAAATACGCTGATTTGTTTATTTGAACTTGGAATCCCAACAGAACCAAACAAAATCATGAAAAATCTCAGACATCTAGTCTTTTATAAGGTTTTCTTTTAAAAGTAAGTTCCTGTTGATAAAAGAAAGTACGTTTTGAACATCGTGGAACATTACACTCATAAAAAAAAATCGAAGAATTTCCTTAAAATCTAGAAAATTCTTTCTTGAATTTTTGCCAAAGGCGACCTCACCTTTGTTTCAAGAAATGGTTTTTTTGAAAGGCACCATTAAAACCAGAAAAAATATTTCTTGTTTTAAGAAATTAAATTTCTTAAAACAAGAAAGGGTTTTTTAGAAAGCCACCATAAAAACAAGAAAAAATATTTCTTAAAACAAGAACAAGATTCTTGTTTCAAAGGTGGTTTGTTTCTTGTTTCAAGAAATTAAATTTCTTAAAACAAGAAAGGGTTTTTTAGAAAGGCACCTTTTGAACAAGAAAAATTCTTTCTTGTTTAAATTTCCTTTCAAGAAATTTTATTCTTGAAGGGAAGTTTTATATTAACACTGAAACCCTAAAAATAAAATGTAACTTGGTTTTTTCTTTTGCATATTTTATTTATTTAAATTTAAAACATTTAACACTGAACATTTAAACAATTTTAAATAACACATTTTTGACTTAAGAAAACATTATTATAACCAAATATGTAGTTGCAGGCATAAAAAATTATTTTCTTCGGCTTTCCTCATCTGGAAAAAAAGAGTTATTGGGATATCAATGATTTGTTTTTAGATAAGAATAGATACATATATGTTTTTAGATAATAGATAATAATGTAATGTTAATAATAGCCAAAATACAAACACGTTGGTCAGACGACCGAGAGAGGAGCAAGACAGGTAGAAAATGAAGAAGGAAGGGTTGAAAATTTAATTTCAGAAAGAGCCACATACATACATATATATTTACATACAGTCCTTTGCGCGAAGGGAGACCGAATGTAAGCAGGGCAGATCGTGTCAGTTTTAAGAAGGAGTAAAGAGAAACGTCGCGACGCGTAGGTCAAGCGAGCGAGAGAGAGGAGCAGAATATGAAAGGGTTGAAAATCGGGTTTCAGATCGGGTGAGCCGCGTACATGCATAGATATTTACATGCATACATAAGTATGTCAAACAAATACAACATATTTTCCTTACCTTAGGGGCTGTCCATATATTACGTAATCACGTTTTTGGTGATTTTTGACCCCCTCCCCCCTGGTGATCAAACGTAATCTTTCAATAAACACCCCCCCCCAATGATTACGTAATCCCAAGAATAAAATTTTTTTTGTTTTAATCTGTGGATTCAAACGGAGATGCAACCCAATCTTTAATATTGTTTATAAATGAAGTTTGGTATGGTTCGTCTACGCTGATATTATCTCCAACATACTCTTCGTCAAGCCATTCCAGGTCTTCGCGTCCTTCGTGTGATTCAACCACTAAACATTCTCTTTTTCGCCGCCCAGCCACTACAAAAATTTTTTCCCTGCTTTCCTATCTAAGTTTGTAGATATAATTAAAGGAAAAAGTTTTTAAATAAATTCTTTAAATAAAAAGTTCATATAAAATGATTACGTAATCATTGTACAAGACCCCCCCTCCCCATGTAATCAAACATAATCATTTCAATGACCCCCTCCCCCCCTAGGTGATTACGTAATATATGGACAGCCCCTTAGAATGTTTTAAAACAAAATTACAGCTTCGCTAAACAAATTATTTGGCTGATGCAACTGCAGGTATTTTCACTCTGAAAAATAAATAAAATGCGAGTAATAAGATAAAGTTATTATAGAACTCTACACCCACAGATTTATATACAAATGTATGTATGTACGTAGCTCTTAGCTAAAAAACCATTCAACTAAATTGGTATACGCTTGGTAAAGAGATTTGAAATTTATCCTTTAATTACATACATACAATTGTACGCCCGCTATACAAAAAATTATATATTTACATACCTTTGAATATTTGGAAAAAGGCTTAACCTCTTATCCGCTTGAAAATCACGTCCATCACTCACGAATTTTTTTCACAACTGACGCTCGGGGGATCAGAGAAGTCGGTAGCCGGGTAGGCCCTTCGTCCCACTTCGTTTTTCTTGTCGTTAACATTCGGCAGCCGAAGGAAGTCAATGGCTACTTTCCTATATTCTAGGGTCATTTCATTCATATATTCAAAGGTGATTTTGTCCTAAAATACGTACAAAAATGTTTTGGCTGCGACGGCAAAACAGACATATGAGATTTTCATTTTTCTATTTTTAAGAAAAATTCTTTCTTGAATTTTTTCCATCAAGAAAGGTTTTCTGTATTCAAAAGCCAATTTTCTAATAACAAGAAATTTTTTTTCTATTTTTCGATTCAATGGCGAGATTTCCAAAATTTAGAAATTAATTTTTATGAGTGTAGTTTGGTCCTGGTGCCTTACAATGTTCAAAATAATAAAACGCAATTAATTTATTTAAAAACAAAATAATTTTATTGTGGTTTAATGGAAATAGAAATTCTTACAATACAATTGTTGTTGCTGGTTTGTTGGTTGGTTTAATATTAATGTTACACAACATTTTTTAAATGTTAATTAATACCATATTTTAATATAATAATAATTTCATGTTTTTTTTTTCATTTTTTAATTACTTCGAAAATTGTGGCCCCTAAGCATTAAAAAGACTTCCATTTGTTTCTATTATCATTTTCAATTTCTCGCTGTTGATTTTGCTATTGGAATTTTGAGTAGAGTTCAAAATCTGTTATATCAAATTCAAATAGGTGTTCCCGAACTCGTCACTTTAGCAAATTGCAGCTTTTAATAAATTATTATGATTTTATCTTTGTTTTACGATTTTCCACATGTATAAAAATATTTATATATAATTTACGCAAGTACTTTTGGTTTTCTCTTACACATTACATTAATGAGTTTTTATCTTGGGTTTGCCTTATTTTTTATATATAAGTATATATATATAAAATGCGCATACAGTTGGAATCTTAGTTAATAATAATAGTTAATGAGTTAATAACGTTCACATTCAATTACATCGTATTCGATTTAGTTACGATAATGATTACATTTTAATTTCTTTTTTCTGTTGCTTGTTCTTCACGAATTCAAATTTAATACAAAAAAACAGTTGGTAGTAATTAAAAATATAGAAGATTCAAGTTAAATGCGTATTTGGTTTCGTTTTTCTCAAGAAAATTGCCATGGTTTATGGATTTATTACATTTAATTGTGCTCGACTTGTGGGTAAGATGGTTGAGTATTGAATGACTGATTGATTGAATGGTTGCGTGACTGACTGTGTGAGTATTATGCAGGGTGTCTGAGGAGCTGAGCTGAGCTGATCCTGGCAGTAAGTTAAGTCAGTTACAAACTGAAACTAAGTTGTAAGTGTTCTGTACTGTGGTTAAATCTTTGTATGCATATTAGAAACAGTATATAGCATATAGTATGCATTTGGTGGGCGTGTATATATTTTTTATTTTCCTTTTCATTTCAACGCAAAAAGTTAACAATTTCCTCGTTCGAAACAGCTGAGAATGGCCTGCCTGACAAAGTCTACATGTAATATAGATTTATATATATATATGTATTTATAGAATAAAAATGCCAACCCTCAATGATATACATTATTTGCTTGTCAGTCCATATTTTCCACATTTTCTTGTCCTTTACTTTAACATTTTTTTGGTTTTAGTTTCCTTTGTATTTCTTAATTGTAAAACAAAATTTGAGCGAAATATACGAGTTGTAACTGAACGTACAGTGTAAACAATTAACCATAATGAAAACATATTACTTTAGCTGATAAAATGTTTTATTTTCATATGACTATATAGTATATGAAAGCCATTTAAGAAACACCCTGTATACAGTATACAATTGTTATTTTTATTTTTAAATTCAACTTGGCTTTAGCAGAGAAATTCAAATTGCGGGAGACAATAAAATCAATCCTTACACAGAAAATATATAAATCGTTAGCGTAAACATAATATATATGTGTATATAAAGAAAACTTAATTATAACGACATTTAACATTAAATTGGTGTTCGTTTCTTTTATATTTTGTTTCTTTTTATAAATTAATTATTATAAAAATACATATATGTATGCATGATGACTAGATGATGATTCCATGATCGGCTTAGTTTCACTATATAGCGTTATAAATATTAAAATCTATATTGAATGCGTGATTATGAGTAAGATGAGCTAACATTTATGCATATTTCAATGATTTAGCAACGTTGATTCATGTCTGTGTGTATTTGTTTGTGTGCGGTTCGACCGTAGAGACTCATTTCCACTAATTGCAAATATATTAATATTTATATAATTTTTTGAGTCCCAAAATTGATTTAAAATAATTGCGTAACGTAAACTTGTCCATACATTGCCATCAAAATGAATGCGATACATTCATTTTACATCTCCTTTTCTTTAATAACAAATTTAACATAACACAATTTAATGGGGAATGTTTGGTTATTAAAAATATTTTTTATCTCTTTCAAATGAAATGTTGCTGTATTCTGTCTGCCAAGTAGCTCTTGTTGTTGTCATTGATGTTGCTGTGCAATTTGTGCAATACTGTAAGAAATAAAATAAAAAATTAAATAAATACAAAATAATATTTAAATATTAGTTTAATCATTGGCGAAAACTCGTATTTTCAATAATAGTAAATTATACTTTTTTTGGAATGCAGTTTAAAATATTTCAAGTATTTGAAACATTTATTTGCGCCTTTATAAATTAATTTTTAAACTCTTGAAATCATGTAACTATACAAAATGTGATAAAGAGAAAAAAAAGTTGAAACTTCCTATTTAGTTATTGCATTATACATTGCCCATTTGGTTCTCATTTAAAGTTAGATTAACTTTTGCCTTAAAATGATCGACTTAAAAAATTATTTTTTTTTGTTTACTTTTTGCTTGTTTTTGTTTTATTTTTAGTGTTAGTTTTCAATATGTTGCTTTGCTTTAAAAATTACAAAAATGCTTGGGATATGAATGTGTTTTTTTTACTTTTTATTTTTGATAATCTTCAATAGGAAGAATAAGCAGCTAACAACAAACAGTTAATATGCCTTATATTTTGTATACGCATTATAATTATAGATTATATTCACGGATGTATATATATAAATATTTTATTTTGCAGCTAGAAAAATTAGCGAAAATATTCATTTTCCTTGTTCTTCTTGTTTGTCTTGCGCGTTTAGAGTTTCAAAGAGTGAAAATCAGTTTTTAGCTTAAAGTCAGTTTAGTTTTAATTTCTCAGTTTAAACAAGTGCATAGGGAGAAAAAAAGCGGAAACGGAAAAATCTGTTCAGAAAAATTCCCTAAACGAGTCTTATGTTCATTTTATTTCACAAGAGGTTTTACATTTTTTTTAGTTTCACGTTTACGTTTTCGAAGCAGTCTAAGATTTTGTTGTTTTTGAGTGTTAAAAAACTGTTGAGTTCACTACTTAGTGGTTGGTTTTCTTGCCTTTAAACACACACATAAATATATTTTTTTTTATAATCGTAGATATATAAGTATGTAGCGTTAAGTAGCCTAATGTGTAAAATGTATTACAGATGGAGAGGCCCAGGACTATATCCAGGGCTTCAACTTCAACTTGATTTGTTTTATATAGTAGCAACATTATAAATATAAATATTCATATATATTATGTATATGTGTATAATTTGTTGTGTAAATCTTTTTCAATTCGTGTATAAAATCAGTCATAGTTAATTATTTGTTTGGTATTTATCATTTATGTTAGTTGTGGTTTGGATTGCTACTTGAATGTTCGGTGAAGTTTTTAACCAAGCGTTAAAAATGTCTATATAAATTATTTTTAGAATGAATTGATCTTGTTCCTCAATTTCTAATCTATTTAATAATATTTATAGCCTAATTCTAATGAGAAAAAAGGAAAATCAAAAGGGGAATGAACCGATCCTTAGACGTTACTTTACGCTGAGTGACATACAAATTACAGACATTCAAACAGACACTACTCAAGCATGCATATTAAATATATTTTATTTCTCATATTTTCTTTATTATTCTGTTAAAACATTTGACGGACTATAAGAATTAAAATCCTACTTATTGAAAAGGTCCAGCCACGAAGGCAAAACGATTTCGAATCCGTTTGAAAGGTTAACTCTGATCTGATATCGTTTTGCATTGGATGCTGGCCGAAAAATAGACACACACACTTTATGATTATTCAGTTAGCTGCATATATCTATATGTTATATCCATAATAATTTAGTGGTTCAAGCATTTTGTTTAGAGCTTTCATTATGCATAATCTAATAATACTTAAAAACACTTCTACGAAGCCAGTTTGAATTTTAATTACTTTTTGGATTTGGTTTTCATTCATAATAGTTCGCTGCTATTTTGCCTTTCCTCTTTTGTTTTCCAATCCGATTTTGCCGCCGATCTTCTAGAACTTGTACAAAATTTAAATTCCATACAAATATGCTCAACAATGCCGACAAATGACTTTGATTTTGTTCCTTTCCTTAATAACATTTATCAAAAATATAAACTACAATTAAAATGATTTTTTAGATATGACATACAAACACCAATATGCTTGTATTTATATATCCTAACATCAAGGTCTGTTCTGTGTAACTTGTGCCTGACAGTCTCTTAACCAACCCCAAAAAGAGAGAGACCGATCCGTAGATGGATCGATCTCGATTCGATTTCGCTTCGATTCCGTTCAACATTCATAGAGAGCTCCTAACAATCACAAAAAATAATAGTAGCAATAATATGATTAATAGATGTTATGTGGTGTCCCTTTCCACACCAGCATGCATTGCCATTTATTAAACAACACTTACACTTAGCACTACTCAAAATGTCTTAATGGTTTTTGACTTCCTAAATGGTTTACATTTTCACGACTGGTGGAGTTACTTTTCTTTTGAATTTCCTTTCAGAATTTTCCTTACTTTTTTGGCGTTTTTCTTTGGGTGACTCGAGACTTTGCCCCAAAAAAACTAATCACAAATGGCGACACACGCAAAATGCCCAACTACATATACTATATCGGCAATGTTAACATACATAAATCGGTTTACAAGATACCAAAGCAAGTGTCAAGGCCATTGACGCCTTTGTTTGGTTATTTAGAGGGTTAGAGCACAGTTAATTGGCGGTATAAATCGTTTACATATCGATCTGGAATATCGGAAATAAAACTGCTAATATAGTTAGTTTTGATAGCTCACTGTGCTATAGTTGCACATTATATCTTATAAGTATATATAAATATTTCTTGTTGTTCATTTTTCCGCTAGGGTTGTATTGTTGCTCCTTAACCGATGTTCAAATATATAGAAATATATTTATTTAAAAAACTCTATCGGTTTTCCATTTTTTGTTGTTGCACAGTCTATTAGATTCTCAATTCATCAATTTTTTATCAACATACATTCACATTTATATCCATAAAGATTAAATAGTTTACCACTACTATAGATAGATGTCAAGGTCGGAGAAAGGGAAAAAAGGGTCAAGGGGAAGCAGGAAGGTCAGCATCGGGGGGTTAACAACATCGCATCTGTTCAAACCAAAATACAAATCTAAAAGTGCTAAGAAAATAAAAGAAAATAATCAAAACAAATAAATAATAAATAAAGCAAACAGTTGGTTGGTTTTTTTTATCAGAATATGTATAAAAATCTTTAATTGTTTTTCAGTTGGTTTTTGTGGCATTTGTTGATTTGTGTATTTGTGTAGGCTTCTACAACATTTTTGTAGAGCAAAGTTTGCTTGTCTATTGTGTAGTTATTTTATTTTTATCATACTTGTTGTGTCCCACGTTGTGTGTTTGTAGTTCGTTTGTAGCATAACATTTAAAAATGTAATAATAATAATAATAGTTGATAAACATAAAAACAAATTTATGCAAGCACAAAATACAAATAAAGGTCCTTGTCAGAAACAGTTTGTGCTAAAATGCTAATAATAAATACAATTAAATAGTATGCATTAGGCCATAATAAATACCATTAATTAGCAGTTTCTTTTGTGTTTTTTAACAATTTTTATATAAAATTTTTAACAGTTTTTGTATGTTTTTTTTTGCGTTTTTTGGTTGTCAAGTAAAAAGTGTTTCTCACACAGAAAACGTACAATACTTTTGTTTAAACCCTTCATCGTTATTACAGCTACCATTACATCGATACATCATATTCAATACAATAAGTCAATTAAAGTCAATTAAGTTTACAACAAGAAAGAACTAAAAAATATATTTTCGTATATTTAATAATCTCACTTAAGTAAATACACGCAAAACATAATTAATTAAAGAATAATTCAAATAATAAATCAAACCAAATCAAAAATTACACAAAGCAAAGCGTTTTTTCAAAACAAACAAGGAGGAAACTATTATAGTTAAATACTACGGTTTTTAATACAATAATGTAAAATAATATTCAAGAAATCTAATACCTGCTTATATGTGGGTGTGTTAATAGGGGACGACATGGGTTTTAAGGGGCGGGGTTCGCGACGCGTTCCAAGCAAAACCAACAAAAATAGTTATTACTTTTAAAATTACAAAATAAACATTTTTTAAATGCTGTTCCTGTTAATGTTGCGTTTGTAGTCTCAAAAAGTTTTATATTCTTGCCTTAAATATATTTTAAATATTCACTTTAAACATCTAACTTTTTCAACTAACCCTTAAAGAACACTTTCGTTAGGTATGCAATCATCAAAATAAATGCTTTTAATAAAATCATTGCAAGCTAAAAAGTCCATGTGCATACAGTGGGTAACAGGAAAAGACATTATGAATCCAACAAATTGTTTGGGCAACTTATTAGATCATAATCTCAGTGTATTCTGTATCGCACTGTATTGGCTCCATATTTAATACCTATTACTCTCGAAGAAGAAAAAATGATTGGTCTGGCTTGGCTTGGCATGTTTTTCCTTCTGTTTTCTTCTTTATAACTATTAAATTATTTGAGATTTGTTTGTTTTACTCTTTTAAGTGTTTATCATATATTAATTTATAAATACATATGCGTATGTGGGGGACCATAGACACACATTTAATTGTATAATTATAATAGTTATAAATGTTTTAAGTCTTCTGCGCTGATAGCCAACTTTTTGTTAAACGTTACTTCTTTCTTTAGATCTATGCACACGCTCAAGATAATTCGGGTTCGTTCTCGTAATTGCCACTAACTTTGAGGCCAGCATCAAAACCATTCGGATGATGTACATAAATATCGCGTTGTTTTTATTTGATATTCACATTTTAATATTTATTTAAATTCAATTTGACAACAAATAATTTTTTGCGTATAATATAGTAATATAGTTTTAAGCAAAACAACAAATTCGTCCAAGTTGCTTTCAAACAAAGAAATTATTTTAAAAAATAAATGCCTAAGCAAAAAATAGTTCAACAATTAAGAACAAAAATTTCAACTATTTTCAGTGCGTTCAGTTGGTTTTGTTTAATATTAAGAAACGGCAAAGGTTTTTTTGTCTGCATTATTATTAGGGTTAATCCATCTTTTCTTTCTCCTGTCGTGGTACAATAAAACAATGAAAAACATAAAAACTAAGCGAGTATAAAAATTTGTGAATTGTTTGTGTCGCGGTTCGGTTTTGGGTTCGGTTGATTTCGTACAAAAGTAGCAAACATGTCTTAGAAGATAATTAATTAATGTATACATATAAATAATCAGTAATCAATAAGTGGTATAATCAAAAATAATTTATAAACGTAAAAAACAGTTATATAATATATAATGTATCAAATGTTTATGCAATCAAAAATAATAATAACAAACAATTTGCGCAATCATATATCTAAGAATTACAATCAAATATTAATTAATTAATGCTCGATACGTGGCTAACTCTTCTTTTCGACATTGTGTAAGCGGTTACTTGTTAAATTTATTTAATATTAACTTCTTTTTTTGTTATTTTTTCTCATATTTTTTTCTTTGCAGTCAGCAACGAACATAAAAAAGTGGAGGGATTTCTTCTGGTATTTTATATAGTTAAAAAAGTGTCATTTCTTTTGTTTTGTTTGTTGTTGTCTGGTGCGCTTTTAATCGACAGCCAAAACGAATGAGAGACTTGCACGCGAGAGAGGAGGGGGTTTGAAGTGAGAAGTGTGCAAAAAGATATAGAGAGGCGGCGGCACTAACCGATTTGAACATGAACATGAATACACATTATATATATTTATCATAAACAAATACACACAAAATAAAAACTAAGCTTAACAGTGTAAATATATATATAAAAAAAATAAAACAAAATTCAACAATAATTTAAAAGATAATAAAAATTATTCCAACAGTGTGCGTGTGTGTTATTACATAGCGAGCAAAGTCTAAGGCTATGAGAGATGACAGATCGGGGGAGATAAGAGATAAGGGGCTTATAGATTTCGATTGCGATTTCGATTTCGTTTCCGATTTTGTAGATTTAGAATTAGAGCTGGAGAGACCGCGCAAGTCAGACTATTGAGAACTTAGCTTAGAGCAGTAGTAGTGAGAGCCGGACCACAGATCCTCCTCCTTTCCGGACTCCCATCCATGGAGTGTGTGTGTCTGTCTGTGTGTTTACATACCCACTGGCGCCAGTTGGACATAGCGATAAATGTAGAGCCGGTAGTCCTTGCTGGCCAGCACCACACTGCCGTCGTCCATGAGCGCCACATCGAAGCACTGGGCGTGCTTCACCTTCGACTCGAGCGCCGAGATCAGCTGCCCGTCCTGCGTGAAGATCGTCAGATTGAAGTTGTTGTGGTTATCGGCGATGAGGATCTCCCCGTTCGAGTTGATCCCGACGCCAATGGGGTAGTTGGTTATGCCCTCGCCGCCAATCTGCCGCAGATACTGTCCCTCGTAGTTGAACACCTTGACGCAGTGCGCCCGATTGTCGCTGATGAAGATCTCCTGCTTGTCGTTGACCACCACGCCATTGGGGAACTCCAGGTGCTTGGAGCACCCAAACTTGTGCAGCACATTGCCGTTCTGATCGAAGATGATCACCCGCATCACCTTGCACTCCACCACAATGATTCGTCCCTTGTTGTCCACGGTCACGCCGCGCGGATGCTGCAGTATGGTGGCCCCAAACTTCCTCACAAACTGCCCGTACTGATTGTAGATCTGGATTTGGTGTGTGGGCGAGCGTTCGGTGACGATGATATCGCCGGAATTGCGCACCACGGCCACACGATTCGGGTAGAGCAGCTGCGAGTCACGCTTGCCGCACTCGCCAAACTGGAACTTGAAGCGACCCTCCTTGTCGAAGATCTGGATGCGATGGTTGTTCGTATCGGCCACAATGATGTCGTTCTGGGCATTCACAGCCACACCGCTGGGCTCCGTGAACTGTCCCTCCATAACGCCGAACTCGCCAAACTTGCAGTGGTAGATCATCTTCTGTCGCTTGATCTGCGACTTGGGCGGATAGATGGTGGCCGAGAGCAGTTTGTTGGTCAGGTCGAGCAGCGATTCCGAGCTCACGGTACTACCGCCAGCTCCGCCGGCGCTCACAACGGCTCCTCCTCCCACAGACGACAGGCTGGCAAAGGCATCGGCCACGGCAGAGCTACTGGCTCCTCCGCTGGTCACGGACGAAAAGAGATTATCGCTGCCGCCGTTGCTCCACTTTTCATACGGATTGTAATGGGCCACGGTACTGGCCGCCGATCCATTGCTACCGCCGTAGGCTCCTCCTCTCTTCGGCATCAGTTCACCGAAATGCTGCTCCACTGCCAAAGCGCTGCGATCACGTCCGCTTAACAGAAGACCTCCGTTGCTAAAGGATCCATTTCCATTCGTGCTGCTGTCCAACAAACTGGCACCGCTTAAGCCAAGACCCAAGCCATGAAGCGACGATTGCGCCTGCAGCTGCTGCTGATGATGTCCGCCAGTCTGGTGATGATTGTGGTGGCCATGATGATGCGACTGCTGCTGGTGGTGGTGACCATGGTGCCCGCTGCCCGCACTGCTTGCGCTACTGTTGCTGGCGCTCTGCGTGGGTCGGGCAATCGGTGGCTGCTTTCCGTGACCATTGCTGGTCAGGCTGAGACCAGCATGTCCACCGTCCGAGGTGCTGGCACGAATGTAGCCAAAGGTGTTGCGCACGCCGGCCTGAATCGACTGATAGTTGGACATGAACTCCATCTCGAAGGGCAGCTGCATCTCCTGGATGCCCGTCTGCAGCTGCTGCTCCAGGGATTTACGCAGGAGCAGGGCCTCGGCCAGCAGGGAGGATGGCGGAGCTGGACTCCGTTCCACCGCCTCACAGGTGGCCAGTCCCTTGTCGATCAAGTCACGCGAGCGCTGCTGCCACGAACTATTGCTGTTCACCTTGGCCGAGTACAGGGTCTCCAGTTCCTTCAGCAGCTCCGTCTTGCGTTCGTCCAGCATGGAGGCGAAGAACTGGTGCGTCTCGTTCAGCTCGTTGTGCGCCTTCTGGTACTGCAGCTTCACCTTGGTGAGATTCTGGTCAGAGTTACCGGCAATGCCGACAATCTCGCCAATCTTGCCGCGCATATCGGCGAGCAGCGTCTGCAGAGCAGTCTCATTGGCCGTGGGTGCCGCCGTCGTCAATCCGGGAGACTGCACGTTCTCCAGCTCGTGGAGACCTGTGGAGTGCTCCAATACAATGCACTCCTTGCACACGAGAATGCAGCAGGTGCGGCAACTGAACTTGAGCAGCTCCTGCTTGTGTCGCGGGCAGAAGAGTTGCCTCTGCTGCTGCTGCTGCTGCTGCTGCTGTGGGTGCAATGATCCGTAAATGCTCTCCTCTCGCTGCTGCTGCTCCTGGGAATTTGCCTGGGCGGCGGCGGCCAGCACAATCTTTGAGAGCTGCGACATGGGCTGCGCCGGCAGCAATTGCTGCTGCTGCTGTTGCTGTTGCTGCGAGTCAAGCTGTTGCTGCTGCTGCTGCAGCATCATGGTCAGCGAACTGGCGTACTTAAATTCATTCGAAGCCGGATTGTTGCTGGGCGAACCCACGGACAGCGGGGTGCCACTTGTGCTCGCCTCGAAACCCTTGATCAAGCACACATTGTGCCCGTTGAAGCAGTGCATAAACTCGTGGGCAGTCACACAATTGGCGCACAGATAGCTCTGGCAATCGAAGCACTTGGCCACCGCATCACTGCACTTGCTCTTGCAGGCCGTGCAACGTGGCGGTGATCCATTGGCGGACGTGTTGCTCGAGGAGCTGTTGCTGCTGCTGCTGCCGCCGTTGCTGTTTCCCTTGCCCGCGCCGACGACCAGACTGCTGATGCCCGAGTTGCTGTTCGAGCCCTGTAGATTGCTGCCAATGACTCCGGGTCCATTGCTGCTGCTGGCCACATTGTTGGCGCTGATCACACTGCTGCTGGTACTGCCGCAACCGCTGAGGCCGCTGGTCGAGGAGCTGGACGATGACGAAGACGAGGATGAGGACGATGAGGACGAGGACGACGAGCAGGAGGAGGAGCTGGCCGAGGAGCTGGACGAGACCGAGGCCGAGATGGGATGATGGCCATTGATCACCGTCACCTCGGAACGCGACTTGACACTGCTGCCGCCCGTGTACTCGTCACTGCAGATGGCCGAATCGCTGGCCGGTGGCGAAGAGCCGCTCAACGTGAGCGGGGAGTCTGATAGATAGCCGGCGTGTTCGTACGATTCAATCGAGTTTGCCCCGCCCCGCATCGAGTCCAGAGATGGTGTCGGTGAGGACGCCATCTTTGTGGTGTAATTGCCGTCGGTGGCTCCGTTTACCTTTAGGAGTAACAGCTATAAAGAGAAAGAGTAAATGGATTTTAGATTCGGTTTTACAAAATTTGTAGATATTTATTTATTTTAATCTACTTTTAAAGGCGATTTTACTATCCTTACATCACAAAAGGTGAATAATCTCGGCTTTCATTTACCTAAACCACCGCATTTATATTTTTCTCCGACCCTCTGTCAATTTCTCCCCCCAAATCGACTGACCCATGAGTCACCTGCGGTCCTTGTCTTCTATCCTCATGAGTCAGCAGCTCCTCCACTTGAACCCAAATGTTTGGCATTTCCATGGCCCCCAAAACAAACAAATATGCCACACCCCACGAATGGCCGCCTTTCCTTAGTCATCCCCTTTGTTATCATAATTTGTAGTTAATTGCCTCCTTCCCCACTCGCCTGTCCCGTTCCGTCTAATCCCCTTAAGCGCGACAGCTGTGAATCGTGTTTTATTAAACATCTTCGAAGACAGTTGAAAGGTATGTTTTTTCCCCCTAGCATTACTATTTCTACCCCCATCCCCGCGACAGAATCGAATCAAACTAGGAAACACGCCCCCACGGAATGCTTTTAAACACAATTCCAATTTCTTACGGCAGAGTGGAGAAGCGAAGCTAAAAGTGAAGCTGTACGGCGGGATGAAAGGACTTCGACCGGTAGAGAAATCCCCTGCCCTTCCATTTCTACGACTACCCCCTAACCTTTATCCTTCGTTCGGTGACGGACACAAATGCAATAAACGCACGCACAGACAGAAGGACACCCCGTAATAATAATTTTACTTCCCCTTTTTGCTGCCTTCGCGGTTCGTTGCCTTCGAGAAGAAACAGGAGGAGTTGGGTGAAATAGCAATGGCCAAAGCAGCAAAAATAATCGGGGAGTTTCAAACAAAACCCCCCTCGCAGAAAAGTAAACAAAAAAAAAAAAAGGAAAACTGGGAGCCCCGGAGAAACTTCTCTAGATTTCCAGAGCAGGCGAAACTTCCGTCAACAAGAAAATCAACGTAAAAGGCAATTCAAGTGAAAGCCAAGAGAGCCAGCGAAACGAAACGAAACTCAAAATCAACCCCGAAAAATGCGCCCAAGGGGGGAAAATGTTGTATGCCAAGGGGATGGGAAAAGGGACTGCAACTGTCTAGACTGGATGTACATTTATCATGCACACACACCCAAGCGAAATGCCGTTCACAGTGCTCCCTAGAAAATCCTTTCTAATTGCACAAACATTCTTATTTTCGTTGTGAAGGAAACTAATTTGGTATTCCTAACCATGTTTATTGGGTTGTCTAAAATATTATTCAAACTATGATGAATTCGGAAATGATATGCATTCCAGTATACAAAGCACATTTGGACTAATCTTTTTTTTTACATTTGACTGTAATGTGCACATTTTTAAGGGGTACTGAAACTTTTTCATATCAGTTTATTTATTGTAATCTTGACTTACATATTTTAAAAACAAAAATAATAATGAAGAAGTTACAAATTGATTCCTTGAGTTTTAACAATTTTTGTAGAATTACATTTTTTTACAAAAAAATATTTTTAACTCGCCTAATCTTAATTGCTGTACCCACTACAGGCTATTGTAATCCCTGATAAATACCAATATCTACCGGTGATATTCCCAACAAAGTGAACACAGTGGAACAAAAAACAAAAACATACATAAAACTCATTAAATGGAGATAAGCCGACTTACCTTTACTGCTTTGTTGTTGTATTTTGTTGTAGAATTTTCTATATATTCCAGTTACGTTTCCTGGTTTGTTGTAGTTGCTGTCGTTGTTGCTTCTTGTTGCTAGTTGCTGTTTCCTTCTCGCTCGTTCTCACTACGCAGTCTATATATTAAATTGCGTGGGATGGTTGCCGATGTTGTTGTTGTTTTGGTTGTTGCAGTAACAAGTTGAAACAAATTTGTGTAGCATACTTTCAAGTGCTGTCAGTTAATTGCGTCGCGCGCACAAAAAAGGCTGCAATGGAAAGAGAGCACAACATTATTATTAGAAAGGATATTGCGAGTGCAAGGTTAATGGAGTTTTTTGTTTATTACAATGACGTCGTCGTCGTCGTGCGCGGTGTTTTTTCCCGGCAAGGACACTGCAAACTTAAGTAAAGGTAAAATGTTCGCTATTTATATGTACAAATTGCGTGTGACGTGAATGCGACGCGGCTCCCTGCAAAACTAACTCTGCGCATAATGCAGCGACCCGGGTAAAGCTCAGGTCCCCGAAAAAGCAGCGACGCCGGCCGAAGCAGCGCCGACGACAGCGGCTGAGAGCGGCAAATGTCCTGGGGATTTTCCTGCTCCGAAAACAACAACTACACAAGTTGCAGCAGTGCAATGCAATGATATACCACCAGTCTGTGATTTTTTTTGTCTGTCATTTAACCAACAAACTACTAGAAAGACAGGGGAAAAGACTAGGGGAAAATCCGGGAAAAATCAATACATCCTATTTACATTTACAAAGAGAGCGACGACAAAAAAGCGACGAGAGCCCAGAAGAGCGCTCTTTTTGCCGAACTGTTGAATGCCGGCTGCAAAAGCAACAATACAACTGCACATCACCACCCGCCGTTTGCCTATGTTTTAGCCACCCCTAAAACAATATGGCGGCCACTCACCCACAACAAATAAATGGGAAAAAGGAAACCTCCCACCCAGAATGAGCAACAATTTTCTACGTCAAAAAACATTTTTTTTTTGCGGGCGCTACAGGTTGCGTGAGAGAACTAAAGAGAGAAATGAGAGGGAGTAGTAGTCGGGAAAGAGAGTATTAAGGAGAGAGAACGAACCAAAACAGGAAGCGATAAACGATAACTACACTGAACAAAAAACAATCACAATTAATTTCATTATGGATATTTAAAATTATTTGAGGTATTTTTAAATTGGTTTTTAGAATTTCCTGCATTTTTAACACACTTAATCTATCGAATTTAGAATGTGATATAGGAAATCTAAAAATGTATCTTATAATATGACATTAAATTTTTCCTGTGTACTCTGTGCGCATGTTTTTTCCCCAATTTGGGCAACGACCGCATCCAAAAGCAATAAAAACAAAATGTTCTCTCATGCTGTCTCTGTTTATCTCTCTCGTGCTCTCTCCATTTCTCTGTTTTATGTTGCCGCGGAACTTTCGAGAGGAAGAGAAGAGACAACTATGCTAGAAATGACGTTGCAGCAGCATCATCGCATTCACATCTCATCAACATAACTGCATAGCGAAAATTTCTGTATACCGGTAGATACGGCAGAAGACAGCAGGGGGCGGGAGCGGAAGAAACGAGCGGAAAAATAACCAGACGACAGGCACATAAATCCGCACACATCCATACACACCAGCACATGCGAGGAAATACAGATTTACACGTGTAAAATAGCGGCATGTTTTTTTTTTGCAACATTACCAACTGTTGCAAATCGGGGAAAATGAGAGAGGGCGAAAAAGAAGAAGCGGAGATCTTCAAAAGGTATCGATCACTCACTCACTTTAGCACTTTCCGCTCACACCTGGCACGCACACAAACACTTGTCCGTAGAGAAATAAACCTGACTCATAAATTTACCACCGGCAATTTCAACAAATTAGTTAATAAACACAAGAATAGCACCAAAACGTCACCGTTCAAAGGGGAAACCTGATTTGTTGTACATAGAATCTAAAATACCCTATCTATTTTGCTCGAATCTTTTTGACAAATAATTTAAACTATATATTGTGTTTGATGATAATAAAAATTTGTTGTTTGTTTTACAAAATGCGGATGTAATAGACAATAGCTAATTATAATTATTGGTTACTCATAAAGTGTGTTTATATTTCCCATTAAACCCTTAAATCTACATAAGAGAGGATGACTTCTAAAATAAAGTACCACTGACTACAGTAAAATAATCTTTAAAGATAACTTAAAGCCTTTAGTAATACAACAATGAATAGAAAAAATGTTATACCCTGAGTTAGAGCATTAAAAACCATAATTAAGCATTGCTAGGCAGGGGGGCTGAGGAGGGGTTGATAATAATTGTCTATCGATTAGATTAGCAAATTTCGGAGATAGTTGACGGAACGCAGGCGGAAGGAAGAGTGTTAATGTGGTTCGGGCCAAATCAAACTGACAGTTGGATTGTATATCATGACAAGATTAATATCATTTCGGGCCACAGGCCCATCAGAAGAATTGTATGGTCTCCACTTTTCGAGAAGAGGGTGTGCGGCTCAATGTCTGTGCCATATGTTTTACTTGGCATTATTTTCGGGGGGTGGAAGGAGGGGTGTACGAACAAATTCCAGACTGCTTGTAAAAGTGTTTAAAAATAGAGCGGGCTAATAATCAGAAATGCGAGTGCAGTGCACTGAGGGCGTGCCCAAACCCCCCATCCCCATCCCCAATTCCCCTTCCTCCATAATTAAGCACAAAACAGAAGAAGAATCGAGGGAGGGTGGAAGAAAGAACCAGAAGAATAACAAGAACAAGAAAGGGAGCAAAGCAAAGCGGAGCAGAAGAACCGAACCGACTTGGTTACCCCATGTGAGAAGTGGAACAAACTGCGCACAGGCATTACTAATGCAAAACAATTTGTACAAGATTATAAATTTCATGGCTCAGGAGAAGTGGAAAGAAAACAAAACAAGGCATTTCGTTGTGCTGATGACGATGATTATGGAAGAAATAATGATGAAGAACAAGAGCGGACAGCACCAAGTTCAAGCCAAATCTAGATGGTGTGTGGGAGAGAAAAGAAACGAGTGCTACCTGTACATCAAATACAGTCGAGCCTCCCTAGCTCAAACATCAAACCAGTTATGGATGCTTCGAGATCCATTCCTCAAATGCCTTTAACCAGTTAAGTTAGAATGTTTTGATTTTGCTGTACTCAAAGTCTAATTTAAATCGCGTATCCCTAAGTAGGTTTATTTAAATTTAATTTATAAATTATTTTTATTACTAAAATTATAATTTTGACAACTAGTTCTACAGTTCTAAAAGACGTTAATCGAAAGATTTATTCAAATAAGTTCCACTGTAATTCCGCAAAAAATCATAAAGAACCGACAACAAAAAGAATGGGTCGGGGGAGGGGAAGCAGGGCGTACGTTCTGGTTGTGCAGCAAAATAAACAAGGCTGTGTTCAACTTCCATGCATTCCCCTGCGGAATGTTTTTGGGGTTGCAACTGCAGCAGAGAGTTCAATGGTACCAAAAGCGGCAATAGCAGCAACAAAAACAAAAGCAATTACCATGACACATACACCCACAGACAGTGGTGGTCAAAATATTGGGCACTTCTTAAATCTTACTATAATTCAATTAGCTCTATAAATATGCATGTTTAAAGTCAAAATATGTAGATAGAGGAACCCGTTTATTTAGCTTTATAATTATGTATTTGCATAAGCATTTTCAAATCGTGCTACTGTGTATAAATTAGTGTTTTGTCGCCTCTTTGTTTTACGATTTGCTATTATATCCATAATTTCGAATGTTTTTTTCCAGCGATTAAAACACCAATAAACTGTTTTAGTGCTATTATTTTGACCGCAGCTATATGCAGAGGATACAGACACATTCAACTGCAGCGAAAAATAAAAGAGAAGCCCAGCACAAAGAGCAAGTCATAAAACAGAACAAAGAAAACTACCTTTACCTGCCTGGCACACACACACACACACACACAGATTCACGAGTTCTTCTAAGCGAGACAAAAACAAAAATGCTGGCAGTTGGCAGATAAAATATCCGTCCCGATCCCAATTCCAATCCTCATCCCATAGCAACCATCCCATTCGCATCCTCAATTTCATCGCAAAGGCACCGCCAACATCACGACCGCTGCCCCTTGGTTCGATGCAAATTACAGATACAGTAGATATTGGCGAAGAGCAACTGCGTGGATTCTAAAGATATGATCTGTATTGCCATTGATATTATTTTCAACAAAAGTCAATTGCTTTTTTTTATTTCTTTAACTCAATACTGGCGTTAAATGACACAGATATTTATACCCGTTACTCGTAGAGTAAAAGGGTATATTAGATTCGTGCAAAAGTATGTAACAGGTAGAAGGAAGCGTTTCCGACCCTATAAACTATATATATTCTTGATCGGGATCACTAGCCGAGTCGATCTAGCCATGTCCGTCTGTCCGTCTGTCTGTCCGTCTGTCTGTCTGTCTGTCTGTCTGTCTGTCTGTCTGTCTGTCTGTCTGTATGAACGCTGAGATCTCGGAAACTATAAAAGCTAGAAGATTGACATTTTGCATGCAGATTCTAGGAGTTCCTACGCAGCGCAAGTTTGTTTCAAAAGGGTGCCACGCCCCCTCTAACGCCCACAATCGCTAATATACGATTTTAAAAATTTCAATATTTTGGAAAAGTAAAAATGCAGTTTTATTGTGTTTATCAATACCTATCGAAATGTAGAAGAAATTTTTTAAAACGAATGGTCCGTTAAAATGTTACGGCGGATCAAAGTTTTTCTCCATCTCTTTCGCACTCCCTTTAGCTGAGTAACGGGTATCTGATAGTCGGGGCACCCGACTATAGCGTTCTCTCTTGTTGTTATAATGAATTCAGAACGTTTTTGAAAAGTTCTTGAACTTAGTAAACCTTTTTTTTTTTGCATTTTACTTATATTTCAATCTTTAATTGTATAATTATTAAGTACTTTATAGTGTATGTAAGTAAAAAAGTAAATTTCCTAGTAAGGTATGTTTATTAATCTATAGACCTTTCAATTTTAAGATAGGTATAACCATTAAACAATTGTAGAAGAATCTTGGCATGACACTCCGAATAATCCCATAATATTTATGGCTAGATATTGGACTGATTAATCGATCTTCACTGTAATCCCCAGAGAAATTCGTCGAATTCTGCGATGCTCACTCCTCCCGCATTTTTTGTAGATTTTTGCCCATTTTTTTCAGACGACGCCAGCTATGCGTCAGCAGCGACGCGACC